TACATTCCATGTCTTCTTTTTGTGCTCTTTTTTAAGAGCTGGATGAAAGTGCTCTCCATATCAACATTTTATTTAAAGCTTTCCCCAACAGGTGTTGGGTCAAGTTTTTGTTTCAATATACATTTTATTAAGGAGGGTAAAGTAAGTGTATTTAATACATTGGGGTGACGCTTATTTGACTACTTGCGAAGGATATCCGTATGTATTTGAAAAAATATTTACAAGGGAGTAACAAAACTGTTGAATTGTTATAAAAATAATACAAAAATGAATTATTAAGAAAATTATTGTGAACCTCGAAAAAGCTTTCCTGTTCACTGCTATTTGACTCACTAAGAAATAAGTTTTCCATTTTTCTTTTCGAAATTTCAACGAATTAGGCGAAGTATGTTTTGCTCTAGAACTTTTAGTATGATTTTCAAACGTTTATATTCAAATACAATGAAACTTTTTCTGATTTGGAGAACTCATGTTAGTTTTGCATTATTTCAGAGAAATGTTTTGAAATGGAATATCTCGAGTTTAAAATTGTTGTAATTCCTCGTTACAAGATACCTTCAGAAGAACATGGATACTACTTAAGAGAGTTCAAGAAATCCCTATTAGCGTGTCAGTTGAAACAGGTTTCGCTGAACGTATTGAAAATAGAAAGAGCTGACAATGAAGATTATGTTTATATCGAAGAATTAGTGCTTCAAGCCCACGCCTCAATAGATAGAAACGGTCAAAAACACAAATCCTACTATTATGATAACTTTTGTAAAAATTGAAAGCAGCTGTTTTTTCCAAGACTGACACCTTTGCTTCATGCTTACAACAGTTTCAAAAACAATTTTGAGACTTCTCACCTTTCAGTGTCCATGGCGAACATGGCATTCGGAGTTTGCCTTTCAATGGTGAGTTTCACCAATTTGCTTGCCTGTGGAAGTCTTACGTTGCTAACTTCCTGCACGATGAACGCAAAGTCGTCCTATTCTATGGGGAATATCAAATAACGTTCACCTATGCCAATATTAGGAACATATTAGTCAATATTGAAACGAGTGAAGTTTTTTTCGATTTGGGCAATCCACCTCGTATTTTTTTACTTGAGAAGAGAAAAACAAATCGCGGAAAAGACAGCTTTGTCGAATGCCTAACGCACTTCATTAGATGTCGAGCTGCAGCGACGATATTTATTTCGACATAATTGGGCGGTCAAATGTTCTTCGTTTGCATTTATGCCCATCAAAAGAAAAGGGGATCGTAAATAGGACACGTTTCGTAGATCGTAAATAGGACGCAGTGAGAAACGCATATATTACGGTCACATTATCTTCATTAAAAAGAAGCCCCAAGAACTTCATGTGGAATGGAATATCGTCTGTATCGTATCAGTCTGAAGAATGAGAGATTGTTCAAGGTATATTTCACTCTTCCCTTGGCTGTAGTCGATACTGGAAAAGTGGTTAATATCTGGTTCGACATTGAAAAAAAATTTTGCTTTCTATCTGGATAATAAGAGCGAATCACCATCACGCCGACTCGACACATTTTATGGCCACCTGAAATAATGATGGGCAAAAGAATATTGAGGAAGTTCGACTTTGAATACTCTTTGCTAGTATCATTCCTCATGATAATCACGCGAGAGTGTGTTCGATAATATTGTACGATATCCGATGATGAAAGGGATTGATATTGGTTCGAGACATTTCGAATTCTTTGCATGGTTCAATTCTCAAATACGCGATCATGGTGTCTGGATGTACGCTGAAGACTCTGACGGAAACACGGCTAATAGCATAAGAGATTGGATGGGCAATTTTTCTCACATTTGCAAGAATTGGCCAATGCTTCTCTCAAACCAAAGACGCGGTTTCAGTTCCTTTCGATTCGTTATTCATAAGAACAGAACCGGACATAAAAGGCGGTTTTGATCCAGAGAATCGGAAATCGTATTGCTTCTCTGATGGTATAGGCAAGAATTCCTCTGAATTGACTTCCAAACTAAGTTATTTTGTAATTTTAAACTAAAATTCCTTCCCTTATAGGTGAAAGGCTTATTGCTATATAATGATAAAGCACATTTTCATATTGTTCAGGATTTATATCACAAGGTGACTAAATACAAACAATAACGATTTAAAAAGCCACTGATCGACAATTTTAAATTCTGTCCGCGGGGCGGATAAAACCTCCCGGTGGGCCACAGAGTGCCCATCCCTAAATTAGGATTATAAGTTATACTCTTCTTCATTCTGCCAATATTTTAAATGATAGTGGCGAAATAACGGACGCAAATAGACTGAATACCATGGACAAACGGAGCTAGATATTATTCTTGTGACCACCAGATACTCTCATTATTAAAATATCGGTGGGAGTACTTAAGAAAGTACGCTTCGTACAGCGATACTCGTGGACTGAAGGAGATTTCATTGTAAACGCGTGCGGCAGTCAAAGTAGTCTATTGTATTGTCGAAAAATAATTTAAAAAAAACTGAAATATTGCCAAGCAACTACTTCTGTCAAAAAATTCTTTAGCTATGGGTATGTTTTCATAAATTTTAAGTTCTATAATACGTTTTTTTTTCCTTTTGTACACGTGATGGCTCTGACGAACAATTTTGTAAAATGGATAAAGCTAACGAAAACTATTTTAAGAGACTCCACTCTTGTTGGTTTACTTAATCTTGCTGCACGCTTAAGTTTTTTTTCTCTTCCGTATGCCTAGATGTCTTTTTATTGGCAGGCTATTTACCAACACCTTGCTTGCAGATAAATTATTTCTGATCCCTCTTATGCAACAGAATACCAGAGAACGAAACATCTACTCCTGAAAACAACCAAACTTGGTACACTCCTCTTTAGAAATATGACTCCATATAATTTGAAAATTTATCTATGTACTGTGACAACTTTGGAATATTACCATTTTACCCATATGAACACCTATCTTATTGACTTTACACTCAACATCATTAATGACAAAGGAATTATCTAAATCAGCATTAGGCTCAACACCAGACAAAGATAGAGATATAAAATTATTGTTAGATCTACAAACCAAATAAATGTACTTGCACATGTTACACTTAATGGAATTGTCTATTCACGTGCATGTAAAATCATGCAAACTACTGTTACAGAACTCACATTGCATAGAACAAGGCTTAGTTCCTCATCTGTTGTATCTTCTAGCCTCATAAATTTGACCTTCTACACTGACTGATTGTACACGCCATTTGTTGAGGTCCTTACTGGGCACCACATTTGACAAGTCTAAATTCACTCTGTTCCAGTGTCTTTGCCTGGAGGTCACCATCTTAAAAATTACCTTCCCATTATGTAGTCCTTTATAAATCTATCAAAATGTTTTTCTCGCAGAAATTGTGTCAGAGCCATTAGAAATTTGTCAAGCCTCTTTACCTGTAATCCACCCGAATAAATATACTTTATAGTCTATGCATGCGTTCTAAATGCATATTTGTGTTCACACCAGACCATTTGCGGTAACAATATGCCCACATTTCAATTCTGTTACCATAATAATCTGAAAAATACTTGAAAAACCTCTGTTCATCTGCCTTTGCAGCAAAATCTGACCTAACTTTTGACATACTCATTTTGAGAGTGAAAGGTCTCTTTATCTGTCTCTTCTAACAAACACCTTAGTACCTTATGTGCCTGAACTACTTCAGACACACTCAGTTAGTTTACGACGCCAACTCCTATCAACATGCCAAGAACACAGTAACTTGTATTTTGGGATATCAAACACAGAATACCAAGCCAGATTAAAAGCATCTGTGCAGCATCAGTCATGAATACCTCAGGCTGTATATTTACCCCATAATTTCTAATGGATTTAAACGCAACACTGAGGGCCTCCTGATCTTTTCTGTTGCTGATAACTAGTGCTGCAGGAAACCCCTCATGTCTGTCATCTAGTATACACAGAATACATAAATCAAAATTGTAAGAGTTAAATTAAAAATTATTTGGTTGGTGCGTATGAAGTAAAGTTATTTATGTATTATTATTATAGTCCGTTCAACGAGAACTGAGAGTGGAAGTAAACAAAAGGGTTGCCGTTTGATCGCCAACGTTTGCCACTTTCACGGTTTCTTCGCTGAATGGGCTATTTCATTTGAATCGACAGAGCTTTCGCTTTTATAGAAAAACGAAAACGATGTTTGGTTTTTGATACCTTAAAATTAGATAAGAAAGTGCAAAATTAAAATATTTTCATGAAAATACGTTTCTAAGTGTTTCAGTAAACACATAATTTTATTTTAAGAATAGTTTTAATATATATTTATATTTCTTTAAGTTTTGATTAAATTAGTTTTAATATATTTTGCATAAATATCTATGAAAAACATAACTTTTATAATTCCATCGTAAAAGTCGTATAGAATTGAAAGTTATGTTAAAAAAATACTCTTTTATTTTCATAATTACAATTTTTTTTTAAAATTTATTAGAAGTTAAATAATATTTAAAATAGTTTTATGTTTCACCGATTGATTTAAAAATATATTAGAAGGAACTGCATTTATTTGTATTTTTAAATTGTTAATTATCTTTATTTTTCTAAGGGAAGTATTACGAAAATAATTACACTAAAAGAAACTTGGAACTTTTTTACATGTCTCACAAAATCTTTTGTTAAGAAAAATATGCCCACTTAACGTATAAAAAAAAGCAGTTTGTAAACCTCGAATTCAATAGGTTTTTGAAAAAATAGAATCAAGTGTCAAAATTATTTAATTTTACGTAACATTTGATTTTCTGTACTTAATTAACAACTGTACCGAAAACGAAAATAATTATATTAAACTACTCAGAAAAGAACAAAATTTTAAGAATTACTGTATTAATGATCAATTAATCATGGATAATAGCGAATAATTATATGATTAAAAAGTAAAAATGAAACTAGGTATTTATCTCAGGATTCACTCTCAGAACTTGTAGAATCCTCGTCGTTTGAATTGATATTTATTACTAGAGAATTAACGGTGTTTACGATGGCTTCGTCCAAATCCCACATCCACGATTTTCTGAGTATGCTCTATGCAATTTTTCCACTTTTCAACTCCAATTTCATTTAAACTTTTCATGCAGAATCCCTCTACTTCCGATAACTTGAAAGTTTTGTTTTCTTTGGCCACTGAACCTTTCATTTGGGCCCAAATCAGCTCAATTGGATTTAATTCAGCGTGATAGGGGGGAAGCCTTAAAATCATTATAGTATTACGTCTAGCAAGTTCATCCACCGCGAATTTGTCATATCTGTGCTTATGAGCTTTCACTATATCCAGTAGTTCTGTTTTTAGCATACCTTCTTCATCACTAACAATGTTTTTAGATTTTAGCCAATCTTTAATTACTTGCTTAGTCGATGATGTGTTAGGAATTTTTTCTTCTTTACGAGAGTGATATGGTGCATTGTCCATCACAACGACAGAGTTCGGCTCTAGAAAGGGTAGAATTTTCTCGAACCATTCTTCGAAACACGCTGCATTCATATCCTTATGGTAATCCTTGTTTTTGTTTGATTTAAAAAGCCCGCGTCGCTACCTATGTGCGTAATAATAAGTCTCTCACCTTTGCCAGAAGGCGATTTTAATGCTGTAGAAAGACCAGATAAAAATGCCTGTTTTGACGAGATAATGGAAGTATCATTCCACACTTTGTCTTGCGTGTGTCCAGCATTCAGCCATGTCTCATCCATGTAATAATTTTTCTTCCTTCTTGTCTCATTTTGTTATTTGTTCTTAAATATCTTCGCCTCCACAAAATTATTTCTTCTTTTTCAATGAGTGAGCTGTTCCGTCCTCGTTTTTGATGATAGAAGCCTAGTTTTTTTAACAGGGAATAAAATGTCGTTCTTTTAAAGTTTGGTAAATCAGAATCATCGTTCACAGCTTTGAGAACTTTGTTTATTGTCGGAATTTCGTTACTTTTCTTCTTACAGCATTTTTGTCGAAATCGTCAATGTCATCCAAAAAAGTCTTACGAGGTTTAGTCCTCTTCGGGAAATGTAATATACCATCCTTTTTATATTCTTTGATAAATCTGAAAACAGAAGCTGTGCTAACTCCCGCTGCAGAAGCCGCATGGTCAGCCACATCAATGATTGGAACATCTGGTTTTGAATGCACTTCTGTTTTATAAATGTTCAATATTATTTCTTTCTCAGCTTTACTTATGTAAGATTTCTTCTGTCGTTTTTTAGGAGGACTTAAATCCATCGCTTTATTTTCCATATTACTCATGAAACACCTGCAAAAAGACACCACGGCGATACAAACAACCCTCTAAAAATAAGAGTTTTTGCTTGTCTGATAGGCGCTATTTGTCATTATACCGGCGCCAAGTAGACAGCTGTATTGCGCCAAATAGCACGCCGCTTTGTTTACTTTCGCTATCAGTTCTAGTTGAACAGACTATAAAATGGATGGGTTGCATAAATGGATGTATCTCTGGGTATAGTCATGATTATAAATAGGTAAATGATTAATATGTCATGATAAATAAATAAAAGGCCGAAACATATATAAGGTAATTAAATTAAAGGAAGAAAGTAGAAAGAGAAATTGGTTGTACAATGCAAGTGTGGGATAACAATAACCCAATAAGTTCAAAGGGTCACAAAGTGTGAGGTTTGAACAAATTGGATGATTTGGTATCACCAAATTTAGAAAAAAGGGCGAAACTAAAATTAATTTAAGATTAAAGATAAAAACGATAAATAACATGCTATATCCAGATACAGACTTAACATTAAAGACAGTAAGATGTTTCCAATGTGAAAATTACAAATTCCCTTAAGAATAAAAAGGGTACTCACCACAAACATGAGGAAAATCGCGCAAATTTTTCCATTCAGCTGAACATTTATTTTCGTAAAGCATTTTGTAAGACATTATTATTATAAAACACGTTATTTCGTAAAAACAAACAATATGTTCCAACAAATTTTTGTGACACAAGAAATCTTTTTTAAAAATGCGGACCGAAGTCCGCGTCGCGGAGAATAAAAAAAAGGAACTTGCAAGAAAGAAGCATAAAAGGAGAATGTCTTAAAACTGACTTAAAAAATTCCTTAACTGGTATAGGACCAGAAAAATTACGGCCAATTAAATTTAAAGAGGTGGAGAGTTTGAAGTTTAAAGGAAAGAGATTGGTTACTTAGCCCCCCTAAAATTAAAAGAAGAAAAAGAAAGGCGTGAGTAGAGGGGTTGGTTGACTTTCTCACAGGAAGTGCGATGACCGCAATGGCCATGAGAAAGGTCAACAAGAAAGTTAAATAAGAATTGCTAAATTGAAAAAAAGGAATAACGTGTAAAGAAAAATTAAAGGCTTAGGTAAAATTAGAAATTAAATTGTCACATTACAATAAGTGTATATGTGACAAAAATCATCTTTACCATAGTGATTCAACATTGCTTTTGAGTATCATCCATTAACACTAACATGAAATCTTCTATCATAAGATTGCCTTCCTGTACAACACCCTGGGGTTTATAAAAGCGTACTAAAGACCCTGATTTTGGAGAGCCTAACACTCACTTTGTCATCTGGGTCAAAAACCTGATCTAATCTAAATTTCATCTGGATATCGAGAATATCTTTCCTTGGTGTCAAATGTAACCGGGAAAGTTCACCACTTACTGACTCTTTTGTATCATTCAGTAGTTCTTTAATGGGTTTTTTATTACTCAACTAATATGCAATGCTCTCTCGCTCTTCCTTAGATAAATGGAGGCGACCTAAATCACACTCATAGCCAACATGTGTTTCAGTGAACTCGACATTATACAGACCATCTTTAACTACAACAGAGATCATTGCAGGACAAATACCATCTATTTTGTTACTACATATTTGTTTACTAAAACGCATACCAGAACAATGGCAATAATAATACTCATTCAGAAAACTGACCACCTTCAAGAAAAGTACTGTTCTTTACCACACTTGTTTCATGTACATCTTTTAAGTGCTTCTCAATTACATCTAGAACTACTTAAAACCTTACAAATAACACATTATCTTTAATGGATCTGAAATGCTGTGTACCTTTAACATAAACTGCTGTTTGTAGAAAATGCAACACCATGAAAGAATCATCAGAATCAAATGAAATTTAATGCAGAAACGACTTGTACTGATACAAATAAATGATGAAATTTTCAAAACAAAAGAAACAAATTAAGCGTCCGAAATCAGTATTTGGTGCAGCCACCACGCGCTGCAATAAGTGCTGCTATACGACGTGGCATGGAGTCAAACAGATGTTGAATATCTGCTTGAGGAAGAGAATTCCATATCGCTTGTATGCGCAACCAAAGTNGGGGGGGGGGGAAACAAAGGATGCACTTCTACTTCCGACGTAGAGTCGTGGATATCGACACTCACTAAGGATCCATAGTTTTTTACGGCTTATCGTCGTTGAGACATAAAAATAGAGTTCCAACTTCTCAAAAAGATTTTTTCTTGCAGTAGGCGCTGCGAAAGAGGAGGTTAGGGAGAACGGAAAACGATTTAGTTCACACTCGAAGATTTTTTTTTTTAAAGGACAGACCTGAGATCCTTTTACCACATATTTTTGTAGAGATAAGACAAAATGAAATTTATATATATCTTCTCAAACTCAGAATATTGGAAGTCTTTAGACTTAAAAGGATGAAAGTTCCATCATCGGCAAAAAGCTGTAAACTTTTACATGAAAGGCCAAGTAAAAAGAAAGGAGTCCATCTATCTAAGATGGCACCGGCGATGACGCTGGCAAGACAAGAAAATTGTCTAACTGTTGCCGAGCGATGACCCAAGAGAAGTGATGACAGCGTCCCTTCAGCGCGGGAAAGTACGAGTTGTCAAGCAGGATAGAAAACGACTGTCATTGGATGGGGGATTACTACACGATTACGTCAACACCAATCAGTGCCAATAGTACTCCCACGCATACAAAAAAGGCGTGAACACGCTAAAAATTCTAGAAAAATCTAGAAAAACCAACCGGAAGAATCACCACGTGCAAAATTTGAAGGTTACGTGAAAGTGATGGGAAAAGAAGTTAAGTGGTGACGTAAATTAGAATGTGAGGGAAAAGAATGTCGTCCTTGAAGGACGGTGGGGTCAGACGACCTTGAATTGCAAAAGGTGAAAAGGAGAAAGACACAAAAATGCGTTGCTAACGTAAAAGTAAAAAGAGACATTTCCAATTCTCTTCACAGAAAAAAATGAAGAGAAATAAAAAAAAGGAGAAGTACAAATACTATTAACTAAAGAAAGATTAAATTAAATTTAAATTCCTGACATAAAAAAAATCGTAACGCGACACTGTGACAAGTGCTTCTCAATTACATCTAGAACTACTTAAAACCTTACAAATAACACATTATCTTTAATGGATCTGAAATGCTGTGTACCTTTAACATATGTTTCCTGAGGTGCTTCCCATGAGGATTCCTTTTTTCACAATAAACATTTTCACGGGTAGTTTGGTCACTACTTCTGCCAGCAACAATTATGTTAGTCATGCTTTAAAAACCCTTTAGAGCTACAAATGTGTGTAGAAACATATTTTACTCTAACTAAACCATCTACGAGTACCAATATTTTAGCAGGACATTTAATGTGCAACCAATTCGAAAAGTAATAATTGTGTCTTTTAACACCACTCTTAAGGTTATCACCACACTTCCTAATAAACTTAAAAGTCAACACACTCACAGCTTTTTTTAAAATTCATAAACTCTTCTTCATTTTCTTTCATTTGTACTTCATTACCTTCCCCAAAAACTGTTCAAAGCTAACTCTGTCACTTGGCGCCTCCCTAAGTTTTAGGCGTGGTATAGCCAAATCAAGGCTCTTGCGCCAAAAATTTACATCACTCACTCACCCTCCCTGGGGTCAATTCGATCTGATCAGGATCGAGCCTAATCCCTTCTTTATCCTTGGTTAGTCCGGTCAAGTTCTGGATAAGCAACTTTCATCTGCATTGTCCTGACAGTTTTCTTCGATAATCGTCGAAATCTCCAAACCTTAAATAGCGCTTTGAAGTCGCGCCACAGACGCGCGTAATGTGCGTCTGCACTGAAATTCTAATCATTTGTATATGTCACCTCCGCTAATGCATGTTGTAAATTTCATGTTATTTGCATGCTTCCTTCAGGGTGTTGCATTTACGGTGGCCAGCAGTGTATATATATATTACACAATGTTTAAATTTCATTGCCAAATTCGAAAATGATTTTCTATTTCTTGATTACTGATGGTAGAAATCTGTTTGTACACATCTTCGGCTGCAGCTCCTGTGCCTTTCGATTCTTTAATTTTCTGCAACTCTTGTTTAAAGGTTGTCCTAATGCTGTTTATCTTGTTAACTTCAGCCGGTCCAACTTGGGGAATATTTATAGCTTTCGCTATTCGTAATAAGGCTGAGTTCCTGGCATCTTTGTGTTTATATCATGCCTCACATTCCATAAGACTTCTCCTTTTTCATAAAACTCAAAAACATCTGAAGTTTGTTGGTCATGCAATTTGCTACGACTTACTTCCATTTTGAACTATCTAGTTTATCTATCCTACAGCGCTATTTCAAGTTTAAAAATGAATTTTGGAGAACTAGGATATCTCGCTATCTGGTTGATAACACTTTCTGCATCCATAGAAAAAACATCCTTGGTGCTGATAAACAGTATTGCTGGTTGCACAGTGTAGGCCGGTATTTTCCGACATGAACATGATCCGGTATTCTCCGGTATTCATGTTAATACCGGTACATCCGGTATTAACATGAGCAGGTAGAACTCTTTCTTGTTGTAGTCATTCACCACCTCAAGGGCTTGGTTAATTTCTCAAAGATTGAAGTTGGTGGGTCATGGCTAAAGCAGATATTAAACTGTTCATGCTTCAAAGTAAGTCCAACTGTTGAAGGGTAGTAGCTGTCACCATAGCGGTTAAACTTCCTGATGTGTTTCGCAGCATTCGTTTGGTACGCCAGCACAAAAAGTTTTCTCCAGTGGGATAATAATGTTCAGGATAGCACCCCTCTCTAAACAATCCTTTTCTGTTTCCTTCCTACAAATGAAAAAACATTTTTTGAGTCATCAAGAAACCTAACATAGTAACTAGTAATTGATTAATTAAAACTTTTAAGTTACCTTATTATCTTCAAGTTTATTAACTAGTAACAACAAATAAAAAGTTAACTTAACAGATATTAGTTTTATTAAGATATTGTAATGACTGAAAGAAGTAACTATTCGCTATATAGAAATGATTAATTAAAGTGAAAAAAATAATTTCAGTTCTTTTGCTTAGATAAGGATGCCAATCAACGTGGCTCAGTAGCTTTATAGATAATACTATTTAGCATAGTTATAAAATTTTAATAATACAATAAGTACCTACTTACTTGAATATCATCATGCTTTAGTATTGCGTGTCCATCCATAACGAAGAGAAGAGTCTAAGGGAACTAACTATTTAGTGAACATAGAAAACTGAGAAGATAAAACTTACTGTAAGCTTAATAAATTTTAAAACATAACAGAATTAGAAGAGATGCTATTCAACGAAATGTATGTGAGCAAGTGAAGTACTATTACTTGATTGAAGATAGATTAATTCAATCCACATACGTCACAGATGGAGCCCTCCTTTGTTTAATCTTGTCGAAGCCGGACTTGTAGTATCTGCTTTGACGTCAGGGCAAATCCGGTACATCCCCTAACATATTGTTTGATTCAGCGATACACGTGCATAACAGATTTATCGTTGTCAAAATGAGAAAAGTAATAACAGGAAGGTCAACAGAAATACGAAATCGGAGAGCAGATAAGTTTCAAGTGAAAATATATCTATGAAGCTAGGGGGCTGTTATCGTTATCGAACCTGTTTTGTTCACGCATATGATTTTAATACAAATGTTAAACTTAACGAGTATTGTACCAAGCACCTGCAGGGTAGTTGTCTAAAGCACAGAAAAAAACTGATATAAACAGTATGATTCTGTGAGGAACAATTTCATGAAAACTTTAAATAATACTTTTACCTAACCTTCTATATTATTTTTATAAATGAAAAAACTATTCAGTAAAGAAAATTACATTATTTACTTTACACTTAGCTAGAGGGGGCGTGGCAGTATCGTTTTTGACTGTTGAAATCTGAAAATTACTCTTAATTCTACTCGAATTTCTCAGCTTCAGGTTTACGTACAAACAAAAGGGATATATTTTTGGAAACCGTGTGAAATGAAGCATCTGAAAACAAACTTAAAAATGTTTGATTTTCCAATATTATTATGACCTACCGACAATGAAGTATTATGGTTGCGTGTTTCCAGTATTTAGAAAAGTAACTTAAATCGTGCTAGCTTTAAGAGTTTTTTTTTTAATTATCTTCACTTTTTTCTAACTTAACATTAGGAGGAACTGTTGATACTACTTTTGATATGCCGAAACAACAAGATATTAAGTACTCTAAATTTTGAATGATATTTTGCAACAAAATGTTTTGTACCTTCTCATCTTCAAGAAAATCAGTCAACTAAGAGATATATTGTTTACATTCAGATATACCTTTGTCCGCATTTATAAGTTACAATTAAAAAATTAAATGGAATGGAAAGAGTGATAGGATAACCTTCGAGCATTAAATAGAAAATTAGATTGATTTTTATCTTAAGTCTTTATATTTAGTTGCATCTTCTCCAGCATTTAATTTAAAATAATCTCCATAAATATCCAATTTTTGATCCAGAGGATTTCCATTTAAGGAACTGCACAATATTGTAGGGCAATTCTTCTGGCTGTCAAAAGCTTTAAAACTTATTGAATTTACCTTATGAATATGCTTACAAAGCAGAAAACTATCAAGGCAGTCACAAACATATAATTGGCTAGACAAGATAAGGCAAGTAAAATTGTGGCATTTGTAACTACACAAATCAGGTTCAGGGCTAGAATCGTTTATTTTTGTGACAACATACAAGTCACTTTTACTGCTTTGAGACTTAATTATCCAAGAAGTTTTCTAAACATCACTATCAGAAATCACTGTCACACCCGTCCATTGAACGCACGCTCAAAATATTGTTTTTAATTTATTGTGAAATGACTTATAGTAAGCATTGGTATCGGCCATAACTTTATTTAAAAATGCTGAAAGATTGCTCTTTTATAAACGAAATAATAAACCTGCGTACAGTTCACTTCGTAAAGATACATCTTTAACTTCGCTGCAAATTGTCTCTGCCCAGGTCCCGTGAATGTGCCATTTGCACAGCACCCTTTTCAAAAATCGTATTGAATGAATTAGCTGTAACTTGATCATCATCATCAAACAATTACAATATAGATCTGGCAAATTTAGATGTAAGATTTTTTTAGGCAATTTAGATTAAGAAATATGTACTTAATAGTTTCTGCATCTAAACACAACTAGTAATGAAATACTCAACGGGGACAATAAGATGGAAGATTGAAACCCCACTGGTTTGTTTTGTGATTCGTATCAATGCACGGAATTCTTTTACAGCCTTCTGTCATCATTACCTTATTAAACATGTTATTATGAGTACGGTTGGACGGTCTCCTTATATTTATCGAAGGAGGAATATTTTCTAATTGATTTCACAACTACTTCAGTATTGTGAAGATAAAAAAATTCCAGAAAATTCCAATGCTCTATTAGAGCAACATAAATTTTAAGACATTGCAAAAGCTTACAAGGGACAACATTTTAGTTATGGAAAGAAATTTCATAATGTATAATAGCTAATTTATTAAATGTATAATAAATTGTATGATGATAAAGTTAATAAAATGATTCTTTGTAAAATGTTAAGCATAAAAAGTTATGTGATTATCTTCAAAGCAATTTATGTGTTTATTTATAATTTTAAGTTAAAAAATGGGGTTTCTAGATGCATTGTAAACGCTCATGGAATGAAACGCACTTATCTTTTTGTACATGATAGGCTCATGCTTTACAATGCACAAATAATTATCAATTTTTACTTTTATTATACATTTTGCATTTGAAATGAATAAAAAGAAAGCTATTAAACAACACTATTTTGTTAATTCTTATGCATGAATAAACACAAACTGCTTGAAAATAAGGTAAAACAAGAACTGATTTAAGTAAAAAATTTATTCTAAAAGAAATGAGAATGCTGTTTCAATTAACTTTTTATGCTCTCTTAGACGCTTCTCTTTGTCTGGAATTGACTTTAAAATGTGTGCAAGGTACTGTCCACAAGCATCCTCAAAGGATGCTTCCTGCGGTGGCGGGATGTTCTTTAGAGCTTTTACAGCCTCAAACAATAGTTCGTCTTCATTCGTTCGTTTTCTTTTGGCACTTTTCCTAGCACCAGCACTACACTTGCCACTATTGGCTTCTACTCGTTGTTCTTCGGGAATCTGGGGTTCGTCACAAGTCAGGGGTTCATCTTCAACAAAGGACTCTTCGTTTGCGATTCGAAGGTCTCTGGAGGCCTCAAATGATTGGAAGTCTAGAGATTCATTTAAATCTTTCACGTTCTGAAATAGAATATTTATTGTTATTTAATACAATCAATAAAAAAAAACTGGTTCATAATTTCAAAGCTTAAATTAAAATATACTTTTGGTACCTTTAAACATGGCAAAATATTGCAAAAATAAAATTTTATTTTCTGGTAGACTTAATTAATATAAATATGCGTATAGTGAAACCTCAATTTTAAAGTTTTCCTCGGAATTCAGTTAAAAGTACGCATGAAACAGGAGAATAAAATTGGGGTAAGAAAGGAAAGGATATTTTTAAAAAAATTGATGCTTACGATAAGAACTATTGAAAAAATTGTGTTATCTTTACAGGCTGTTTACTTCACAATTGCAAATGTTACTGAGTTTAATGCTTTCAAACTCTTGATTAGTTCGATGATCAGCTCCTCCGGAATTCCCCCCCCCCAAAAAAAAAGAAAATCAGCATATAAAGTAATTGAAAGGAATAATAAAAAAATAATACCAGAGCAATGAAAAAGGATAATATAAATAATTAAAATGGGTTCCTATTTTCAAAACATTTGAAATTTGTTGACTGCCATTTGTATATTTTTGAAGTTAATGAAGATTTGTATCAAGTAATATCTTACCATTTCAGTTTCTTGAGATTATTTATTTTACTCTATAATTAGTTTAACAAAGTATCAGAATTTTTTTAAAAAAATGCTTTTTCAACTGAAATTATGCCAAACATGTGACACAATTAAGTAATATTCATGCACATTTATAGTCATGTTCATACCTGACTTAACAAAGAAGACTCCTTATAGCTTTCCTCCAAGTTAGACACGCTTGGCTCTGCTTCACCAGTATCCTCTAGAAACAGTAATGCGTGAAAATGGATCCATGGGACCTGAATCCTTTCAAATCCTGCTCCACTTGCTAACGTCTTCAGCTTTTTCACATTCCTTTGGAATATAGTCAACTTTTCTAAACAGAAAAAAAAGTGAACTAATAATGACAATAAAAAGTAAGTTAAAAAGCACATTTATGAATAAGAGTGAAAAACTAATATAATCATAGAATAAAATTTGAATCTTAATGTTGATGCAATTGTCTGTATGTGTAATGATAAAAATGTTACAGGTTTGGTAATAAACACAAACACCTATATTGTTATTAGACAAGTTTTGAAATTTATTTTCTTGCATAAGCTGTACTAGAGCATGCATTTGAAATTTTTTATGCAATTTGAATTATCATTTGTATGCCATGTAAATTCTGTATATCAAATACTTTTTGAATAGTTTAGAACCAACAGAAATCATACTTTTTTTTTCAATCATAGATTTGTACATTACCAATGTGAATATAACAACGGAATCTTAAAAGGTATATAAAAAATGTTTATGTTTAGTGGCATCCATACACTATATTTATCTAAACACTATTTTCAATATTTAACACAGGGTTTATTTAACATTTTAATATAAAAAAAAGTAATAATAATAATTAATGGTAATACGAAAAAAAATATTTTGTAATTATGAAGTTAATGCTGTTGGTTTGGTTTTAAGTTTATTCTCAGAAGCAATATTAGAACTTAGAACTAATGAAATACAGTCAAAACTAAAAACTCACCCAATGAGAATTCAGTTGTATGCTGAGGCCATTCTATGGTTAGTTTTTTCGCAATCTCCTCAAAACTAACTTTCCGGAGCATCCTATGTTTGTAGTATTGAGATTTAACATTCCAGATGTTTTCTTTTTTTAGGAGTTCAATAAAAGTACTTTCCATTTCTATGGTCCATTTAAAAGTTTCCCCCCAATGGACGCTTCAAAATTTTAACTCATACAAGTGAAAAATTTTATTAAAAAAGGTGAAGCAAGTGTATTTAAGCCAGCAGACAAAATGGAACAGAGTCATTAAAAATAAAATAATGCCAACCAATTAAATTTGTCAGCATATAGTTAAGGTAACCGAATACCTTCGGAGACGAAGTTTTGAAATTTTTACTTTAAAAATATTTTATGTGATTTTATCAATGTATAATCAACTAAAACAAGATATAAATTCATAAAAATTTGTAAATTAATTTTTTTTTTAAATTATGTGGTAAAAATTGGTCAAAAATTATTAAAAAAACAATTTTTTTTTAAATCTTGTAACTTAGCAAAAAAATGTTATTTTGTATGTCTGTTTGCTTTATTGAGTTGTTAAAGAACCAACTTAGGGTATGAACTATGCATTTGATATAATATTAACTACTTGAAAAGTTACAAATGATATCGTAACTCTTTTTGCAGAAACGATCAAAAATTGATTTTTTTTTTTTTTTTTTTTTTTTTTTTTTTTTTTTTTTTTTTTTTTTTTTTTTTTNTTTTTTTTTTTTTTTTTTTTTTTTTGTCTGGAAATTGAAAACTAGTAGTTCAATTACTTAAACCATAGTTCATACCCTAGGAATATATGTAAAAAATAGTCATGCAAAATTTCAAGTGAATTGGACTAATAGATTTTGAGATATTGCATTTACAATGGAAGTAAACAGTGAAAAAATAAGTTTGGAGATATCGGGCAAAAAAGAAATTAAAAGTAGTTTACCAATATTTATTTTATAATAAATCAGTAAAATATAACAAATTATTATCAACCAACCTCTTTTCTTTTTAAAGCAGTAATTTTTAGTTCTGTTAATGCATTTGAAAAATTTGTAAGCACTTTTTATAATAACTTAGAATATCCGAATAATGGAGGTCGAGCATCACACAAGTAAGTTTACTTGCCTTTCTATTTATAAAAGCAGTGTTTTTAGTAGAAATTCATATTAATTTACTTATAAACTATAAAAATGTTCAATGTAGGGTGCAGAGTATAAAATTTTAAGATTTTGGGGGAAAATGTGAGAAAAAAAGCTACTATTTATAAAATTATTTCTCTAAAGTTAAAAAACAGTTTTTAATTAAACAATGTTTTTAGGCAGATATAAATACATGAAATACAATATCTTTTTATATCAGCTAAAAATAATTTAAACTATTTCTGACATTTGAATAACATTGAACAACAAAACATGTTTACGAAGAAAATTGAAATATTCTTGGGGAAAACAAATCATATTTATATTGAAAATAAGATAGATGAACTAGAACATTAATTTAAAAAAAAATATATATTTATAATTTTTATAAAAATGTAATTTATATTTTCAGCTTATTCGAGGAAAAATTATAAAAACCCACTTCTTAGAAAGAAAGTAAAACAAAACTAAGTTTGTTTTACAAAACATTAGGCATTTAGAATCCACCACGTTTAAAACTAACACCTTCTTTGCTTTCCAAACGTGAAGTTTTCTTTTTGCGAGATGCTTTTATAACCTTTCTGCGCTTTTTGGCATCAGAGCAGGATTTATGAATAGAGTCGCTAACTCTAGTTTTGTCCAACATTGCGTAAGCTTTTTTGGTATAATGTCCAACTTCTTCCACACCCAATTTCCTCAAGACTGGTACACATCCCATGAAACCATCATTAAATTCTATAACAGCTTCAAGCGCACCAATTCGAAGAGTTTTAAGAGACTCAAATACGTCTTTAGGTATCATTTTCCAGACTACGCCATTGTAGGACTCGTTGGCATTTTGCGTTTTACCTTGTAAGCATTTTAAAAGCATTTCTCTAGAACAAAGAGGCAGGTAGGTAGATTTTATTTTATTTAATATGGTCTGGGATAAACCAACATGCCTATCATTACATTGTTTACCATTATGTATGGCTCGCTGATATGCACACCAGCTATCAGCACCAAGTGGGCATTGCCCATGTATAGGATTTTTTTCATTAGACGCGCAATGAAACAAAGCAGCTATGGTGTTCTTTTGCATGTTGTCTATATCTCCAACATTGCTACGGATAGCAATTCCGTAGTAGTTTTGCAATCTATCAATAAGCACATCCGTCAGTTTTTCCCTTTCCTGATAAACCGGCAAGTGAGAGTCGCCCCTTTTCTGGATGTGCCCAATGCACTCCAATTTAGAAACGCTATTTTTACCATAAGTGTCTTTTACTTTCTGGTAACCTTTTGAGTCGCCGTCTCCATAATATTTTGTATACTTAAGGCGATTTTTTTTAATTGATCGTTCAAAAATCTTTGTTGCGCCAACAACTTCCATGTAGGAAGAAGTACCAGAGTAGTTCTGCTTACATATATGGTCAGCTTTCATAGAGAGAACAACACTGTTTTGGTTTTGCTCAGTAGTTCTGCATATTTTGCAGTAGGAAGAAAGTACTTCAATATCCTAAACTTTACCAGTGTCTATGGAAAGCGCAGCCACACATCCATTTAGCGAAGAGTACCCACGCTTCTGCCAGGTCCCATCAACAGAGACACCACATTCGACTCTATCAGTCGAAGAAAAATTGGCATCAATCACCTCATTTGCAGCTTTTTTCATTGATTTTACTGCGACACAAGATACAGCTTCCAATAATTTACTATGGTGAACAATAAAGGCTTTTTTGCTCAAAGGAGGTGGAATATTTAGAGTTGCACAAAGTTTTTTGGATGCTTCGTGCCCTTTACCAATCTGTCTCATACCATAAACAAATCTAGAATTAAGATATTTTGTTATTTTTCTTTAATGAGGCAAACCCTTTCACATAGTCACACTTTAGGGAAAAGTGTGAGCAAAGCCCAAATCTAGTTTCCTCTGTAAATATTAAACTATTTGAAAAACAAATAGGGCAGCAAAGTTCAGCAAATACAGTTTGTAAAATATCCATGTCCATAATTCTATTACCTGTGAATTTTTCACAGGTAATAACGTCATTATTGGAATTTAACTTTAACAACGATATAAATCGATTTAATAACGAAAATAAAAGAAGATCAAATGAGCGCGCTATCACAAGTAAATAAACAAGGATAAAACAAGTGATGCTAGATTTAGGATCTAAAAACATTAAAAGTAGAAAAAATTATTATTATCAATTTATTTTTTAATGTAAAAAATATCTTTTTCACCGAAATTAATATATAAATAATGGTTTTTACCTGAAATTCAAAAGCGAAACTAGCGAAAAATGTCAACTTCCTGTTTGAAATCAACACTTCCGGTTTCTCAAAAATGAGGTCGATGCGTTTTTAAATTATCATAACTCCGGTTCTATTTGACGCAGAATCAAAACTAAAACAGTTTTGGAATCAGAAAAGTGCATTCTTTAATAATGTTAGCAAAAATAAAAAGTGATATTATGGTCAAAATTGGCCTGAAATAGGTAGTCGGATACCGGTATGAGTAAGTTCTTTATAATCAGTAGAAACTGAAATAAATGTATCATTTTCAGATAAATAATTTTAGCTTTATATATCCTTAATTTCCAAAAATAAATTAATCTATTAAATTAGGAAAAAAAGCAGATATAAAAAGTACCTACATATTACAATATTTAAAGTTAAACATGTGTTAATATTTTTTTATTAAAAAAAAAACCTGTTAAGTGCTTTAACGGGTAAAAAATATTTTAAACTTCCTTCATGATTTGTTCAAAACCTGTATGTTAATCATATAGAGCATGCAACTGCATTTGAAAAATTAGTGCAAATCTATTTGACAAACTAATGCTACAGAATAAATTACATAAAATTAAATGTGAATCAATAATTTTTAATATTTTTTTTTTTAAAAATAAAGCCCACTTAGCTTCCCAAGTAGATTTTTTCAAGGTGGTCTCACCCAATAAAACCCTGGGCAGGTTTTTTCCCACTTGGCGAATCCTGATAGAAAGTGCAAAGTAATTGAAGAAAACCAAATTTTTATTCGGCGAATGCTGACAAATATACAGTTTAAAAATAAAATAATACCAAGCAATTAATTCTGTCAGCATATTGTTTAGGTATGAGTAAGTTTCAGAAAATCATTAGAAAAATACAAACTCACTTAGTCACACATCGATTTCACAAGCAAGCCGAATGAAAAGAAAACAACGCCCTCTGTTACAATGCGCAGGTGGAGAATAAAATGAAAGAAATCAAGAGAAAGAAATACGTAACAAATTAATAGAATGCTTAACTGGGGCTGCTAAGACTTAAATTGCGCCCTGTTAAAAGAAATATATATATATATATATATATATATATATATATATATATANTATATATATATATATATATATAAACCTAGAATTCATCAATCATTTTCTTAATTAAAAAATTAAAAGGAAAATCATTATTACTCAAATTATTTTAAAAGTTATTCACAGCTTCCCGAAAACTTTCAACATTATTGCAAATATTTTTGATCCTAACTAATAGTGAAAAAACTAAATTTTTTAATATTTTATTACACAAATTAGTATTAAAGTTGCAAAAAAAAATAACTTTAAATTTAAAAGCTTCTCTTTTATCAAAGACAACAATTTTAATAAAACTGTTAACAATATCAATTTCAAAATCTAAATATTCAACATCAAAACAATTCTCATTAGTTTTCTTCAAGACCAAATTTCCAGGATAAATACAGAGATGCCAACTGCTCCGTACACGCCAAAATAATTATAAAAACGGTAAATAACTACAATTTATTTTTGCAAATATTTTGAGTATTTTTGCTTGCTTTTTAAAAGTTATCGCATGACATATTTTTACTAAGTGGTGAATTATATAAGCTTACGAATTATTTAGAAATAACGGTGAATAAAAATCTACTAAATTGAATTTATTAAACCAAGAATCACAATTGATAAACTACCACTTTAAAATATATACAAGTTGGCATCTCTGTAAATAAAATTATAATTATCACAATTAAACAAAATCAATTCATCAATATATCTAAAAGCTTTAAATTCATTGTGCTCAAGAAATTTTGCTTCAAAAAATGCAAAAAAATATTTATAAGAGCCCCAGAAAAGGAATTACCTTGTGGAATTCCAATAATTTGTATATAAAAATCGAAACCATTAAAAAGAACATTCTCAAAGAGATTAAACTTATCAATTTTCTCATTAAATAATTACCTATCATAAATGCCTTCACAAATCTCAATAATCTTTCCATGTGGTATACTTGTATACAACTTTTCGAAATCGAAAGTATTAATGCTAGACATATCATTATTATTAATATAATCCAAAACTTCAACATTACTATTTATAACAATATTTTTCTCTTTCTTAATTTTAAGCAAAATAATTTTTAGAAAACTAAAAAACCTTTTACTAATATATCAGAATTATAACTATTAGTACCACACGCTATAAATCTAAATTTAATCGGATTTTTATGAAATTTAACAATAGGAAATAAATATGGAAATGTAATCCTATTTGACCTAAATTTTAATTTTAAGTCTAAGAATTCAGCCCATCTATTTATATGGGATGAAGTTTTTGCAACAGCTGATTTCAGACTATTAGTTTTATCAATTAATGTGCGACTGTTTAAGCTGTCAAATAATTTATTGATAGTTGAACAGAAGTCAGTTGTATGCTTAGTACTAGGAGGTAGATAGCCAGAAGTGCTCTGAGTGCAAATACCCGCAGCAACAGATTATATTAAAATCTGTGCAGCGAGCTTCACATTCATAGCACTAAGTCCATCAACCTCAATATGCTTTTGCGTCAATTTGGGAACACTCCTATGATCCTGTTTGGTTTGGAATCAAATTCATACAGAGAGGCCACATGAGACCAAATTGCTGATTTGAAACCATTTAAATGAACAGGATACTTTTTAATGTTGTTCCGTAAACTTTTCAACAAGTGAAGCACATCAAAAAAAGTATATACATTAACATTATCTACAGTGAAATAAGGACAGTCAACTGTCACAACCCATTCTTCGGCATACAGTTTAAGATTGTTGGCTCCCTGGTCACATACAACAGCAATTGGGGTCATGCCACATTGAGTTCACCTAAAAGATTAGTCAGTAAAATCTTCGGTGTGGCAGCCGGTGCTGTTTGTGATAAGAAAAAGAAACCAACAATCTGTTTCCATTTTTTGCAAAGCCCACGCACCATAAAAGATGAGCGTGTGTTGCAAGCTTGGAGGAGGAAGATTGAATTTGGGATCCGTAATCTTCAAATCCCACAATTTTATCTTTCTTTTTATTGTAAACCAAGCCACATTTTAATAACATTTCATCAAAAGATATAATACAATATTTGTCATGTGGCTTTATCTTACTGGCTATAAGTTTAATTGAATTGAGCACAGCAGTTGAGAAACCTGGTTCCATTTTTATGCCAGAAACAATTTTTATAAGAGTAGGTTTACTAGGCAAATTCAAAAATCGTTTCAGGGTGTTATATGCTTTAGGACTAGATAGGTATAACTGTAAGCAGAGATTTTTATCGCTTAGAGACCACCTATGTCCATACTTAGATACTGAACTTGAAATTAATTGCGATCTAATAAAACTAAAAATAACTGGACTCACCTGAGGTTCAATCGAGCTTATAACTTGTTTTAAGTTTTTCACACGCTCAACTTTCGTTTGAGCATACTTCCTATTGAGGAAATGCAGTTTTGTTGCCAGTGACTTTATTTTCTTAGACTTAGGCGTTAGTAGCCTAAGTCTCTGCACTCCTCTTCTTGGCGTTACGTTGGAATCATCTTGGAGTACCACCAAATCAGTTGCTTCAATCCGAGAAGAGTCCAATTTCTCCATCAGTGATGAAGCCATTCCAGAAATCTGTGGGGAAACTGGAGGCTGATCGGGCACCGCATTTTTGGCCAAGTGGAGTAAACCTTTGCTCCAAAGTGACTGGAGAAAGCTCGGAAGCTGGCATAAAGGGCATTCGGCGAATGTGATGCCAGCTCCACCTTCCTTAATAAGCTTGTCCACTCTCTACAACTATTGAAAACAACGAAAAAATGAATACTTAAAACAGTTTAAATTATTTGTATGTACACAAGTACAATAAATATGTACCAAACATTTATAACAAAAAGCACAATTGATCAAAAATAGGGGAAAGCAAACTATTTCTTAGCCTCCTCAAACTAATTGTATGTCAACCAAATGGCACATATAAATAAGTGCCCAACTTGCAACCAATAGGTCAATAATGTTTATTCTATTGCAAAAGAAGGTACATTTGGGAGATTTTGTTAACAGATTTACGAAGCTGATGGAAAATATCATAATTTTTTTTAAAACTGTTCCATGAAAACTGATTCTTAATTTATACATATTTTTTAAATAAACACATGTATTAGCTAAGATCTCTGATTCTGACACTAATGTAGTAAAAAAAAAAAAAAAACATNATTCACGATTTTGTAATAATAAACACTTTAAAGTGAAGTGACAAAATAATTTAATGAACAAAAAAGTTTGTGGTTACTAGTAACAAACTAAAATTACATTTAGAGTAGCTTCAGAAAAATAATATAGATCAGTTTTAAACCATTGACCATAGTACAAATTCAAGTATGAAGAACATTCATATGGATACTTTTTATTGTATGAAAATATTTCAAATATAGGATAAACTTTTTTTTTCCTCTAAAATATTTAAATTGACCCTTTGTATCACAGTGTTGTTTTTTAATAATTTAACAACATTTATTATTAATTATGTTATTTACAATTTAACAACATTAACAAACAAAATTATAAAAATATGAATTCGTATTTTGATATTCAGATTGAAATTCATAAAATTTTTGTATTAAAAATTAGAGAAATATGAAAAAGAAATTTCTGACCAGTTTTCTTCAAACATTAAATAAAAAAAAATAATATAAGCTTAAGGCTAAATAAAAATTAAGCTTACAAACACAATTACATTGCAAACGAGTATAAACAAACTGTTATCTTACCGCACAGGATCCCTGGTGAATCTGAAGTATCTCCTGTCTGGATGAGAGTGTTGTGGCTCGGCAAACACAACACTTATGCCTCACCTTCCGCTTAGAAACTCCTCTTTAAATCATGACAAAGAAAAGAGTTATAATGTATTATCATACAGAAGTAAACGAACAAGAGCATCAGTTTGTTTACATCACATTTGCACTAAGATAGGGATTAGTAAAGACCTTCGTTTAGGCTTAGAATATTAAACATTCTGTGCTTTCTAATTCCATGGTAGAATGTGTTAAAATAAACAACTATAAAAGTATTACTTACTTAGAACTCAATGTCCTTTCGATGTCATCCATCTTCTACAATGTAAACTATAAACGCCTGTGCTCGTTTAAACTTGCACATAAGCTTTCGAGTCTCCGTCACCCTAGTACTCTGTATAACAGAGATTTCGCAGGGTTTCTGATTGCTCGAAAATGCTATAAACGCCAACAGTTTCCATAGTTGAAGCCGAATCAGTGTGATTACGACATATATGTTGCTTAGTGGCAGATGTACCTGATTTTTTGTTATATATTCTGCAGAATTGAGACAAAATTTCTTTACCGTTTTTGTTGGGTATTTTTTAAAGAATACTAAAAATGAATTTAAATTTTTAGCAAGAACAAAAAAATGAATTGTAAGGAATCGCCTAACGAAGATTTAATTGCACACATAGCACATGATTTATATAGTGGAAGTACATAATAAGAGACGTGCATCGCAATAATACTGTATCCGTTAAGACACACCTTTTGCTTGGATAAAATCTGTAAGAAAAACAACAATCCTTAGATTGCTCACAAAAAAGTTGAGAAACAGTCACAAAATCATGACAACATCTTAATGGAACCAATGCTTTTATTTGTAGATAAGTTCGCTATTGTTCACGCATCAACTTGAAAGGAGAAGCGGTATACTTAGGCAGGTGGGCGGTCAATAATTGGCATTGCCATGTCCCTTTTTCTTTATCAAAAACGAAAAGATATCTTGGAAAAACATTATGAAGGATCCCTTTTAAAAAGTGATTCCATGCAGAAGGACTATTTGAAGTAGGAGTTGGGATGATAAACATCACATACTGAACTGGGCCGACAAATACCGTGACTGGCATGACGCCTAACAAAACTACCGATGAATTTTATAATTTGACACAAAGGGAAGCTCCAGCCAATCTCATCTCTAGGAAATCATAACTCGGCGATCGTTCACAAAAACATGCTGAGAATGGTAGATGGTTTTTTTGAAGGAAAAAAAAGCAAAGTTTGCACACTTAAAATGAAGGCAGCTACGACAATCAGCAATGGTAACGCCATGTTCCGACCTCAGGGAGAGGGAGAAAAAAAGAAACTCCTTTAAGCGGAGAGCTACATGAAAGATCTTTAAGGGGCGAGAGGAATTGGATCAGGAAATAAAGGATTTGTATCCGAAAATAATAAATTAAACTGAAGATTAAGGATTTGGATTTTAAAAACAGGAAATATTAAATCAGATTGTAACTTAATGTCACAATTTCTATGTCCAATACTTTACCACTATCAATAGAGATGCAGCTGACACAACCATTCAAAGACGAATAACCCCGCTTTTGCCATGTGCCATCAATTGACACTCCACAATTCACTGAACCTTTTTTCGCACCTTTCAAATATTTTATCTCCTCAGCAGCATTGCTCACGCTGTTTTCCATTGCTTTATTTGCAGCTTGATGAATTTTATTTTCAGCTGACCTATAACTTCCTTTAGAAAGGGAAGGAATATCCAGCAATGCGAACAGTTTTTTCCCTGCAGGGAAACCTTTTCCTATAATACGTAATGCAAACACAGCAAGAATATTTATACTATTGGAATTCTTCACCTTTTTTGTTGATGTAAAACCTTTGGAAAATGTGCACATATACAAAATGTGTTTGACATGTGTTCCAACAGAAAGTTGGAACACATGCCAAATCTAGAATCTTCAATTAGTGATAGGCTACCTTTATTATAACAGATTGGGTAACACAAAACTGCGAATATAGATATTAATACTTCAATATCTATTATGCAATTTCCAGTAAGTTCAGATATTCGATTTTTATCAAAAATATCATCCAATGTTCTATTCAGTTTCGATAAGCAGCTTGAAGTATTTACATCAATGCAATTCTCAACAGCTTCATTTTTCTTCTCAATGGTGTACTGGTTACTAGAAAATTTTCGCTTTTTAGAGCGATATCTTTTAGTGTGATCCATTGTTTAGAATGTTTATAGTAAAATTATGAGCAGTTTCGAAGGTAAAATGTAATATTTTGCATTAGAAAAGTGCAAAAGAAAAAGAACAAAATCAGCGTGAAAATTTAAACAACTAACACGAGACTTGATTTGTTGCCAGATTTCTAGTAAAAAACAATAATCTGTAATAAAAAGTTTAAAAATGGCTAAAAGAAAGTGTTTAAAATTTTAATTAAAAGAACATGAATTTAAACACTTAAAATAATTAATGTACTTTTAAGCAACTTCCGGTTTTAGAGTAGCACTTCCGGTTTCTTTTTGAAGCAGACGACATGTTTTATAAACTTAAAAGTAACTTCTAGAGCACGTAGAGAAAAAACAAAAACAGTTTTGGAAAGAAGAAAGTTCAAATTATCTAAAACACAAATAAAAAAAATCGTACCTGAGGTCGAAAATCGATGTTTTAAACGTAGTCGGTCACCTTAACATTCGAGCCCTCTGTTGACAGTTACATGCAGTAGGATGGTCATTGTTACCTCCTCTGCGTCTGACAACAGAAAAAAAAGTTCTCAATTGCATCTTGACGGAATCTGCACATTAGTATGAATGGAACCTCATCAAGTAAACGAGGACCAGTTTCATAGCAGCAGATAAGGTGATTTGCCATTCCCATAAACAAGGAAAATTAATTTTTTCCCCTTGGTCTGAAATTCAATTGACTTAATGAAGTCAAGGAATTCAGCCCATCTATTTAAAAGGGATTAAGCTTTTGTAACAGCTGATTTCAGACTATTAGTTTTATCAATTAATATGCGACTGTTTAAGCTGTCAAATAATTTATTGACAGTTGAACAGAAGTCAGTTGTATGCTTAGTACTAGGAGGTAGATAGCCAGAAGTGCTCTGAGTGCAAATACCCGCAGCAACAGATTATATTAAAACCTGTGCAGTGAGCTTCACATTCATAGCACTAAGTCCATCAACCTCAATGTGCTTTTGCGTTAATTTGGGAACACTCCTATGATCCTGTTTGGAATCAAATTCATACAGAGAGGCCACATGAGACCAAACTACATATTTGAAACATTAAAATCAACCTGACAACATTTGTGCCACACTTTCCGTTTAGAAATTCCTCTATAAATCATGACAAAGAAATAAGTTATAATATATTATCATACGACGTAATGAAATGTCTTACAATTAAGCCGCCAATAATTTTTTTTTTTTTTTTGAAGCAAAGGCAGAATAACAAAAACGATTTTTAAAATTACATGACTGTTAAAAAAATATTTTGAAATAAAACATTATAAACAATGGTGAAGTATTGTCCTTTCATAAAATAGTTTTACGTCCTTACAAAATTTTAACAATAATGTAACTTTAAAATGAGCATTGAAAATGATTAAATCATTTGTCAGTAAAAAATCACAGATTATATTCATATAACTTTTATAAAATTTATTGCAAGTATTAAACACATTAAGGAAAAATATGAACTCAGCAATGGATTATTTTATTGAAGCAATTAATTTTTTAAAAAGCAATTTTTAAAATTTTTCAATCACTACTTTTAATTTTGTTGTATAAATTCTCTATACATGTTACAATTACATATTTTTTTATATCATAAATTATTATTAATGAATACACATATATTTGCATCACCCCCCAAAAAACAATTCTGGCTACAGCACCTCTATAAAAATATTATGAACAATTATTCAGTTGAAAACAAATATAGAATAATTTATAGGTACTTGAATGTGGCTGTGGTTGAACATCTACATCGTGACTGAACTTTTCGACACTCAACTTTTCAACACTATTTATTCATTGTTCTTTCAAAGGCTGCTTTGGTAGAGCATGCCTACTAATGTAGAAGATTTCTTCCTCGTCATATTCTTGCCTTTTTCTTTTAGACCTGTTTTCTGCTCTAACTAATAACCGGTGACCTTTTTCATAAGTATCTAACAAAAAAAATTATATTTTATAATTCAAATTTGAAAAAGTAATATAGAGAAGGGAAAAAATAAAAATGTTATTTTTTAATAGACTTTGAATTTAAATGTGAAGCATTTAATCTGAATAAAGTTTACAGTAATACATGATTTAACTAGAATTCAGAAATTAACTTATAAAAGTTTGTACTAAAACTAATAGTCTGTAATATAAAAAATCACGATTACAAAATTCCCTCTGAAATTTGTTTAGCTTTTCAAAAGAACAAGATTGTTATGTCTGATATTTTATATATTTAAAGCAATAACTGAACTCACCAGTTTTTCTCATAACCCTGACAACAGGATACTCTGGCCAAGAGAGACTGGCACCTTCTTTAATCCTTACCGCTTTCTGATATTTCATAGGATCATAATTAGGAAGCTTGCAAGTACGCCTATCTTCACTAAGCCAATCATTTGGTACGAGTTGCACGTCATCTTGAAATTCAATAATGAAGTAACTCAGTGTTCTGAAAATGTACAATGTATTTTATGTATTAAATAGTTGAACTGTATCAGAAATTAACATATTTAGTTTATATATTTACACTTATTAAAAAGATCAATTATGCTAAATTTAAAATCAATACGTAATTAAACAAACATTAGACATTAATAATAATTAACTAGTATTTATCTATAGCTATCAGCTAAAAAATTTTATAATTTTTTTTCCTCCAAATTTCCATTTTTTGTTTTACTCATAAATACAAAGGAAAATGCTTTAGATTTCTAAAAACTAAATACGGGGAATAAGATGAACGTCCGAGGAGGCTTACTATCTAATTGCAGCTAAAAAGTAAATAAAAAAATATATATAAACATGATGACATAATCACAGCTAAATTTTGAAATCCTTACACATTTTTCTAAATTTGAAAATATGAAAGAGTTTGGCAATCGTTTTTAATAAAGGTACTTCTAATTTATATTAAAAAGATTAATAATTGAGAAATCAGAATACTTTTTTTTATCCTTTTTCCTTATTACTTTCTTTAATGATAAAGAAAAGTTTAAAAAAAACAAAGAATTTTTAATATAATGAAACATTTTTTAAATTCTAGAAACAATTATGTTCCATAACGCAACAAATTTTCTACCCTACTTAAAAGAAAATACCATTACTTGTGTATATTGAGGAATGACCCAATAATCAAAATAATATACTTGCTATATAAATTTTATGAAAAGTTACGTAAAAATATGCGGTGATGTTTAAACATTGTGGTATACAAGTTGCGAATAATAGAAAAAATGTTTTTTTCTTTTTTACTTAAAAATATTTAAATTGATAAAGAAAAGATTAATTAAGTTACCTCTTTATGAATTTTAATTCTAAATTTTCCTTCTAACTTTGCCTTTCTCAAATAGAGTCCCATGTTACTGTTTCCCTGCTTTTCATTGTCCGGCTTTTCAATTTTATTTCGTAGATTTTTCTCAACCTGGTTCAGCCCAGGTTGAGAAAATTACAATAAATAAAATTACAATATGGAAACATAAGAATTGAAAATTTAAATTAAAAAACTGTACAAATAACTAAAATATATTTTCTTTTTGCAAAAGCTACTTAAATTCCCAATTATGCTCAAAATCTATAAACGATACGACCTATTAAAGTTTCAATTCTTTCTTATATAAATGCAAATAGGATTATAAATATTAATTTTACATTTAGAGACGTAGGAAGCTGAAATCAAAAATTTAAAAAAAAAATCACCTGCTTTTGCCTATTACTCTTATTTTATAGGTACTTAATTATTTTTAATAATTTATAGCAGACAAAGTGAAGTCCTTAGAGTTGAAAGATTGTTGTATTTTTAATCAAGATTAAAGTTGCCTTTTTTTTAATCTATTTTTGTGAAAAAAAAGTTTATAAAAGCTAATACATTGAAACTAAATTCAAAACAAATTTGAAGTTAAAAGTTACAATAGAAGAAAAGAAATCAAAAATAAAATTTCATCTTAAAGAGGAAAAAAATAATTCTTAAACTTAATGAAACAATGTTTCGCTTTTTTATTACTGCTATCAAAAATACTAATAAGGATTTTTAAACATTGAAAATAGCAATAAAAAAGGACTAAACTTTATAAAAGGGAGAATAGGGATTTTTGCAGAGCCCTGTATGCTATATTACAAAAATAAATTTAGCTAATGCTGTGCAATAAAGGTAAAGCGATATGCTTATCTTGCAATGGGAATAAAACATATTTTTTTACAATGTTTTCTACTGGCGAAGACTTTAAACTCGACAAGCTGGCAACAACATAGATGTCTAATAGGGAAGAATGGCAGTGTTTATCATAATAGTTTGCTCTGTTTAGAAAATACTGGCCTTTGATCATTTGACAATAATGTTCGTTTGAAAAAAAGATATTTCGTACTATTACTATCTCTCCTGACTTCAAGCCACAGCAATCGTCAGTTCCAGAGTTTGGTTTAATTAAAAATTGATCTTTAAATTGTATATTTTCTTAGGTGGTTGAAATATTGTTGCTATTCTGCCTTTCTTTAGAAAATGAATGTGTGTAACAGTGAGGAAATTAAGGGGCTTAACCTGGCAGAAGGCGCTCTCACAATATTACGCGAGCAGGCGTGGTGGGTCCAATGGATCCTTTCTTACTTTTGAACTATTTTAGGACAATGAGTAGATAGCATTTGTTCTTAAATAATATAAAATAGATAAATAGTGAGAATATGTTTCCAAGGTTTGTATGAGAAATTTATATTTTAATAAACAAACTTACATTTTAAGAACATACATCACACACTGTAATTGAATGTTCATTGCATACATTCTTCTGGCATTTGGCACAACATGTTTTGGTCTTCCTGTCTTTTGAGGAAGAACAAATATAGCACCTTTTTTTGGTGTTGCACTTTTGTGGCGGCTCTACTTATTTTGCAGGAAAATGTTGCAGTTTATCTTTCAGCTTTTTGGGTATGGTTGGGTTGGGTAAGAGCCATGGCAATTTCTTTCAAGAAGGCTCTTCTATTTTTGTATGCAGTGGGCGGATTTTTCGTTGACAGCAATAAGACTTGCATTTATTGCTGCTGTGTTCAAAATTGAAAAAAATACAACCATACGCCATCTCTTGCTTATTCTTGCAGTAGAATATGGTGCGGACATTCCATCGACGACATCACATCTACTGCACCTTTTGTGATATTATTAAAAGTAATAATTTCTGGCTTTTTTGCGTCACCACTTGAAATATCTATTGTTCCATCATTATGCATTGTTGATAACAGGTTAACGCACTTATTCTCCTTAGGAACATATGACACTAAAGTCGTATTCTTCTGAAATCCAAATAATGAGGAGTGTACTTCTTTTTGTTTTCTAGTAACAAATTCTATCGGTAACTCCCGTTTATTTTTTTTTACAGTTCCAACCATTGTGATTTTTTTCTTCAATAAATCCTGTGCCAAACTATAACTTGTATACCAGTTATCTGTTGTTACATTTCGCCCAGAATTATTGAGTTTTTGTGTCACTCTCTTAACGATATCGTTGGGAGAATTACTGACTTCATACGGACCTTTTGGCTGAGTCCCGGCATTTATTTCCAAGTTCCAAGTATAGAATGTTCTGGAATCTACCAGGGCGTATATTTTAATCCCGTATTTTGCCGGTTTATTTGGGATGTATTGTCTAAAAGAACATCTTCCTCTAAATGGTTCAAGTTTTTCGTCTATCGTTACATATTCTCCGACGTAGAATTTTTGACAGCTTGAAACAAACAAATGTTTCAAAGCAATCTCTGATAGGTGCAAGTTTTCTTCTTTCCTGTCTATCTCTTACATCATCAAACCTGAAGCATTTTAATAGAAATAGAAATCATTTGTATGACATAGTGCTGTGAAATATATCAAGTCCAGTTCCATCCGTTGCCCAAAGATCAAGGACATTTGCATGGGAAGATTTATGCACTCCACAAAAATACAATAGTCCGATAAGTGCTCTAATTTCATTCACAGTCGTTTTTCTTGCATCCCGCTCTCTTTGGAAAATTGTCAGCAATCGTATCTGTGTAAATATTCGTAAAATCCACTACTTTGTTTAGCATCTCTTCATTTATCAAAAATGTCCACGATTCAATAGGAGACGATAGATTTTTGGCTTCTCCGACATTTCCTGGCAATCTAGTTATTATGTTGGCGGCCGGGGTTCGCACATTTTGGCGATATGGCGTTTTTTTCCACTTCGTAATTTTGTCTTTTCCTACAAAATAGTCGTTCTCTCCGGTGCCTATACTGTCTTCCTCCGAAGACGACTGATGCTCACTAAAATTATCAGTTTGTTCGCTTTCACTTATTAATTCTTCATCTTCATTTATTGTTTCCTCATCAGTTGAAACTTCCGCCAGTAATGTTTGTAAACGCTTCATTTCCTCATCGTAGCTCAAATAGCGAGACATTTTTTTATAACACACGCTCCACACGAATGATCTCACGGAAATATGCCCCAAAAACTAGTCACACGAACAGGCGCGCCGGGTCCTTCAGACCCTATTATCGAAAAATAACAACAATAGTGAATAGTGGATTGTAGAAATTTCATTCGGCGGAAAGAAGTTGACCTTGAATGCAGCTACTGCGGACTTGGTCCACTTTGGAGGAAAGGGGGGATTTCTACGGTTTGGGACGACGGGATCTCTTGGATACGGCGCGCGTTCTGGCTGGTTAATGAGAATATAATGTTAACTTAAATTGAATTTAGAAGAGTGTTAAAGGGGAAGGGGTTAGAAAAAAATTAACGTTAAAGTGGTTTTGGAGGGAAGGTACAGAGTTAGGCGGTGAAGTATAGTGGCATAAGAATAGTGTGAAACCGCAAAAACCGTGATGGGCTCTTGAAGTCAAAGTTTATAGGATGAAAAGTCTGAAATGGAGAAAGTAGTAATCAATTTTTAAGCAAAAACTGAAGAAAACTATTTCTATAAAGTAAGGTAAGTTTTACCCCGTTCTCCAGGACTGCCACTTTGGTAATAAATATCAATTTGCTCAGTCATAAGACTCTAACATGTTTTATAGACAATCACTTTAATAATAACGGAATTAGAAAACACAAACAAAAAAAGGATTAACAATTAAAGTTCAATTATTTACGGAGCTAAACGGAGCTTGTTCTCAGATCGAGATATTAACATCAACTGGTAGCACTGTGGGCGCACCAAAACAACATGCGCAGAAGACAGTTATAGTGGGAATTCTCGACAGTAGTAAATAAAAAAGGAAACACAACAATTAACATAAGCGATGATGAGCCTGAGGCCAGGGGGGAAGAAAACCAGATTATGAAGAAAAAAAAAAGATAACCTAACACAATATCAAACACATTTTTAAAATACAACATTAGATCCATCCTTCTAAATCAGTTTCTATTTCAGTTATCTCAGAATCATTGATACTTCAATTCGTCTACTTTTTGATATAATTGTTCAACACGCTTAAGTTTCACTTCTAATTCAGTTGGATTCTGCTCCTTCGTTTGATCAATGTAAGTTTCTAATATCGTTATGGTACTGTCACAGTGATATGTGACGATTTTTTTCTAATTGTTTAATTTAATCCCTCTTAGTTTAATGTTGGTTTTTTTTTATGTAATTTAATTTTTATTTTACCCCAGCTCGTTAATGAGAATAGGAAATCCTTTTTTTTTTATTTCAGTAACAAATTTTTGTGTCATTTTTTTTCACCTTCTGGTGACTCAAGGTCGAATTGACCCAGCTGTCTTTCTCGGTAGACGGAAAAAAAGGTACGAAAAAATGGGTCCCTGGAAAAAAAGGTACCTCCATAGGGAGAATCTGTTGGGATATTTCCCCTCTCACTTTCTGGGTAGCATAAATGCTTCTGGCTGTTTCAATGAATATTCTTTTTATCTGTAATAATTCAGATTAGATCATTGAGGCACAGAGAAGGGTAAGGGGGCGAACTTATGGGCTGGTTGTTTTACGCTTTTTTTTAAAAAAAAATTATTTCATTTATTCTTCATTGATTATTTTTAAAAAAAATTTCTATTACAAGCGTTATAAGCGAAACACATTAATTCTACTCCCCCTCCCCTAAAGGTNGTTTCATATAGCCTGATAACACTTTTTCAATAGAGTCAAGATTCCCGGTAGAATCATGATCTTAGAAAATAAATAAACAATATTATTGAACATTTTCCTATTTAATTAACTTTTTAAGAATAAATGTGCGTAAATAAGAAACAAAAGTTGGATAAACAAAAAAACAAAAGTTGGCAACTTTGAAAACGCGCGACACGAAAAAAAAAAAACATGCACGGAACAGCAAAAAGCGCTTCAATCTAATCTTCTCATTTCACATATTATCCCCTACAGACTTTTCCCTACACGGATACCTTTTTTTCCGTACCTGTTTTTCCGGTACCTTTTTTTCCTAGAATCGATAAAAAACGAGGTCGCAGAGCACTGTGACATATTACCCCACTAAGCTTGAAAAAAATTTTGAACGAAGGAGGAAAATTTTTTTTGAAAAAAATTAAACCAAAAGAAAAATATTAAATTGAAATCTTGCAGTTACCAAGAATGTTGCATTACAATAAATTTTTAACACATATAATTATCAACATTTTGAAGAGAATAAAACAGATGTAAAGTAGAGACGGCATACAAAGATTCACTAAGTAAAATTTCACTTGGAAAAGTTCAGGTTTTGAAGAGGGGGTGGTTCAGTTGCACAAAACTTGTACAAGTAGTTGGATAGGTTGCTGACGTTCTACAAAGTGTTCCAATGAGTGAGGCTTAACGCTGTTGATCCGAAAAGTTCCCAAAAGAAGAGTCTACAGGACAGATCACACCTAAAAGGTAAAGCTGCGGCAGTTAACTGTTCACTGATAACTTGTATGGTTAGTAACAAAAATTTGGGTGAGTAACTAGTGTGTTCCAGATCAGAACCCCTGTTACACACAAATTCATAACACTACCTTTCAAGGTATGTACACAATAAAAATTACCACTGAATTAAATTTCGCAATGAGCGTTAAGTAACCACAATATATATTAAAACAATGCGAGGAACATTGTTAACAGAATAAAACAAAAAAAAATTGATTTGAGCTGAATTAAATTAACTGAAAACTTAAGTTGTCACCATCAGGTCAAAAACACCAATACCCACTAACTTGATACCTGCGCAAGTGTTTATCATGGCCAGCATGATAACCAAGTCAGACCGTTAAAGTGAAATCAGACGGAGGTGGTACACAATCAGTTGTAGCAACAAAAATTATGTAATGACAAACTGACGACGGAGAAAAAAATTTATGTTTACTACATGAAATTTCGAAAAAAACAAAATAACAATCGCTTAAATCATGAATAGCGATCAAAAATGAAAAAAAATTGTTTGAGAGAGAAAAAAATTAGTCCAATTATTGAAATAATTTGTTGCACAAGGTGAATTAGTGAGTAAGACAAGATATATCCATATAATACAAATGGACAACATATAAAATCCGAATATCTAGTAAGACACAATACACTCATGTCCATAAATTAAGGATAATGAAGTTCAGGCACAGAAAGAGACAGAAGCCAAACAAATTTGACTTATTTGTAAAGTCTATGTATTAAACAAAAGGTAAAGAGCAAAAAAGATGCTATATGTTTGACATAATTAATAAAAATTGCGATTTTTACTCCCTGGAGCAAATTTAAAAAAGAACCTATTTACGAAAAGCTGTATAACATGGTTAGTATGAGGGTTAATACGTAATATGTCTCCCGGACGATGCAATACAGGCCGTACAACGCCTAGGCATGCTGAGTATCAAATTATCAATCTGATCTTGGGGAATATTACACCACTCATCAAGCAATGCCCTCCGAAAGTCCGGTAGACAGGTGGGAGGTGGTTGACGGGCTGCAATTCGTCGGCCAAGCATATCCCACACATGCTCTATTGGATTCAAGTCCGGTGAGTATGCTGGCCAATCCATACGGGTGATATCCTCCGATTGAAGGCATTCGTCTGCAATGTTTGCACGGTGAGGACGGGCGTTGTCGTTCATAAACAGAAATTTAGCACCCATGGCGCCCCGAAACAAACGTACATGTTGTTCCAGAAAGACATACCTATAGATGTGGCCTGTCATCGTTACACTCTGAACATGCAGGTCAGTTCTGGAACCAAGAATAATTCCTCCCCAAACGGGCCATCCTGCACCACCGTAACGGTGTCGTTCAATGGTGTTCTCTTGGTGGTAACGGGTACCTGGCGCTCTCCATATGAAAGACGAGCGATTAATTCTCACTTGGGCCGGATCACGCTATTGGTCGAAAATGACATCACTGTTTGGGGAAGGGATATACTGTGTATTGCATAGTATTTTGGCGATAA